GCTGCAACAGCCAAAAGCTGAAGAAGATAACTCAAACGCAAGTGAAGTCAAAGCATGGAAGTCTACCGACGAAAAGGCGATGGCGTTCATGATGCTCAGTTTAACACCTGTACAAATTGCATACGTTAAGCAGTGCAAAACTTCCAAAGAAGTGTGGAATGTGTTGAGGGAAATTCACAGACCTAAAGGTCCGGCCAGAAAAGTCTCATTATTTAAAGAATTATTGGGACTACGTATGGCAGAAGGCGAGCAAGTGCAGCTATTTTTAAGTAATTTTTCAACATTGGTTGATAAACTAGCTGAAATAGGAGTAGACCTTCAGGAGGAGCTCTTTGTTATAATGCTTCTCGCCAGCCTCCCGAAATCGTTTGAAAATTTAGTTGTGGCTTTAGAATCACGCGATGAATTGCCTAAATTGAGTGCATTGAAAATTAAGCTTCTAGAAGAAGAGCAGCGGCGTAAGGTGAGCGAGTCGCCGATTGCCGAGTGTAGCACAAAAGTTTTCATGGCGCGCGATTCAAGCAATAAAAGTGCGAAGTCATCAGGCAGCGGCAAATTTACGAAGGGTAAATCGAATTATAAATGTTATTGTTGCGGAAAAATTGGCCATTTTGCTTCACAATGTAAGAACAAAAAGAAAGACACAAAAAGTGACGAAGTGAAGGCATCAGCATTCCCATTATTTTCGGCGTTTGAAACGAACATTTTGCAACCAAATGTTTGGTGCATTGACAGCGGAGCGTCGTCGCATATGTGTTGTGATCGCAATATGTTTGAACAAATAGAAGAGTACAATGAGACAATTTCCCTTGCAGGTGACAAGCGAATTGAAGCAAAGGGAATAGGTAAAGTGCGATTGAAAATGGAGAAAAGAGAAGTTCTGCTAAATGACGTTTTGTATGTACCCGTGCTGCAGTGCAATTTTATTTCTGTATCCAAAGCTGTTAACAGTGGAAATTACGTTAAATTTACAGCCGAACATGCTACTGTTAACGATAAGAATGGTTGCGTATTATTGCGTGGAGAAAAGGTTGGAGGTATTTTTCTGTACAAAATGAGTGATGAAATGTTATTTTTTGCAAATAAACAGCTGATTCTGTTAAATGGCACAGCCGCTACGGTCACTTGAATTATAATAGCATTCGTGAATTAATTAATAAAAAGATGGTGCATGGTATTGAAGTGAATGTACCAACAAATATAAATTGTTCTATTTCTATGCAGAGCAAATGCACAACAAAGCCTTTTACACAAAGCGAAAATAGAGCAGGTGAGTTACTTGAATTAATACATACCGATGTTTGCGGGCCGGTTAAGCTATCAGCTGGTGGTGCACGCTATGTATTGACGTTTGTTGACGACAAATCGCGATACTCATTTGTTTATTTCCTCAAACATAAAAGCGAGGTTTTTGAAAAGTTTAAGGAGTTTAAATCCTTTGTCGAGCGTCAAACTGGGTGCGCAATTAAATTAATGCGAAGCGATAATGGCACGGAGTATACTAGCAATGAGTTTCAACGATATTTGAAGGAGTGCGGAATAATGCACCAGCTAACCGTGCCATATACCCCGCAGCAGAACGGGGTAGCGGAGCGCTTAAATAGAACGCTGATTGAGATGGCTCGCTGTATGCTTGTCGGTGCTAATCTTAGTGAGTCATTGTGGGCTGAGGCAGTTAATACTGCAGCCTATCTGCGTAATAGATCACCGACAAAAGCACTTGAAGCAACAACTCCGTATGAGGTATGGCATAAAAGAAAACCAGGTGTGTCTCACCTTAGAACATTTGGTTCCACAGCATACGCTTTAGATAAACGTCAGAAAAGCAAATTTGAGCCTAAAGGCAAAAAGTACATTATGGTAGGGTATAGTAGCGTAACAAAGGGATACCGTTTATACGACTCTGAGACACGGACAACTATTGTGAGCCGTGATGTCACTTTCATAGAGCCAAATACTATGAACGACGATGCAAATAATTTGAATGTAGACATTTTAGATAGTGACGAGGGTCATAGCGATTGTAAAATTTTAGAGTCGGAGAGTGACTATGAATCAGCAGAAGATGATTGCGATGACGAACCTGTATCGGGGCAAATTAGACCGGGTCGCCCGAAGCTCGTTCGCACAGGTAAACCTGGAAGGCCAAAGAAGGTATATAATGTTTTGAATTTGCTACGCGAAGTTGATACCCCAAATACAGTGAAAGAAGCATTGTCGAGTGAACACGCCAGTGAGTGGCGTAAAGCAATGCAAGACGAATACGATGCTCTTATAGAAAATGACACATGGGAGCTGGCAGACCTGCCGGCAGAGCAGAAAAGTGTAAAGTGCGAATGGGTGTTTGCTGTTAAAAGAAATAAAAATGGTAACGTAGATCGCTTTAAGGCAAGGTTAGTTGCAAAGGGGTGTAGTCAGGTGTATGGAATAAATTATACTGACACGTTTTCACCCGTTGTGCGTTACTCCACTATTCGAATTATATTTGCACTAGCCGCGGAATATCAATTGCATCTGCATCATGTCGATGTGTCATCAGCATTTTTAAATAGTAATTTAGACGACGAAATTTATATGGTTCAACCCGAAGGTTTCAAAGACGAAATGCATCCTAACAAGGTGTTGCGCTTAAAGAAGGCAATATATGGGTTGAAACAATCGGGACGTTAGTGGAATTCAAAATTGAATGAAATTTTAATTAGCATGGGCTTTAAAAGATGTGTGACTGAGCCCTGTGTCTATACAAGACATCATGATTCAAAATTTAATATAATTGCCGTCTATGTCGATGACCTGCTCATTGCGAGCTCAGATAAGTTAGAGCTGCAGTCAATAAAACAAGAAATCGCAAGTCATTTACAAGTTGTAGACAAAGGTCCAGTTCAACTTTTCCTGAGTATGGAAGTTGAAAGGGAGGGCGAGACAGGTCCAATAACTATATGCCAAAAGGGTCAAATCAAACAGCTTTTACAACAACATAGTATGATAGATTGTCGCATAACATCGACACCATTAGAACCCAAGCAGCAACTCCATTGTAGTAGCGATGAATGTAAACGAGTTGACCCACAAGAATATCAATCGCTAATCGGTTCGCTACTTTACTTGGCGTTATGCACACGGCCTGACATTATGCACTCCGTAAGTAAACTCGCACAGAATAACGTCGATCCACACAGCGAACATCTTGCAGCAGCTAAGCGAGTGCTTAAGTATTTACGATTCACCAGCGACTTGGCACTTCGTTATTCCAAAACTGGAAGGGCAATTGAGTGCTATGTGGATGCCGATTGGGGAGGAGAAGCATCTGAGAGAAAATCGTATACGGGGTATACATTTTTGTTGGCAGGCTGTGCAGTATCATGGGAGTCTAAGAAACAAGCGAGTGTTTCGCTTAGTAGTACTGAGGCAGAATATGTTGCCTTGTCGACAGCAGCGAAAGAGGCAGTGTTTTTAAAGCAATTTTTTGAAGAAATCTGTCTACACAATCCGAAAGCCATCGTAATTAATGGCGACAATTTGAGCGCATTAAATCTCGTTCGGAACCCTGTATACCACTCAAGATGTAAGCACATCGAGATCAAGTTTCACCACGTAAGGGATGTATTCGAGAAAAACCTGATTGAGCTAAAATACTGTTCCAGCAGCGAGAATATTGCCGATATATTAACTAAAAATTTAAGTAAACAATTGCATAACAAGTTTGTAAATTTGTTAGGTTTGAAATAATATTCATAAAGATTTTGAAATGTTAAATAAGTTAATTTAAATAATTTAAAATTTTGGAATGAATATCAGATTTGAGGAGGAGTGTTGAATTTCTAATCCAAATGGCAACTCTGTTATTCATTCTTCGTATTGTTTGACATTCTTTGCTTTCACATTATTCTGTTTCTACAAGTCTTTGTATTCTTATAATATAGATACATGAATTTTTACTTCGAATAAAGTTATTAAACGTTCAACACGTGTTCCAAATATTTTTCCTAAATCCCAAAGTTCCAACA